CTGATGCATCTTTATTTTGAGAAGCTTGTTTCTTTTTTAATTCATCTAGTAAATCTTTCATTTCTTCATCAGAAACATCAAATGCTGTTTGACCCTTTGAAAAACATAAAGTAGAATTGAAGTAATTTTCATACAGCCAAAACATTTAAAATAACATAATACCACAAAATTTTTCTTTTTCATATTACAGAAATGTTCAACTAATATTTCACAAGCYTCTTTTTGACCCCAATATGCTGCTGCGTGTAATGGTGTCCAACCATCGTAATCTTGACAATCGACTTCTGCGCCAGCTTGAATAAGGAGCCTAATAAATACATATTTTATTAAACTAAATTCTCTGAATAATACTTTATCATTTTTATAGTATATTACTCTAAGACTTTAATGTATCCTTTGGCAGCAGATACATGAATTGCCATTGCGCCAGTAGTAGCATGAGGAGAATCCTTAAATTTGCCAGTATTAAGCCATTCTCGAGCATCTCTAAGCATCAGTCTCTCTTCTTTGTTCCTTGCTTCATCACAGTCAATGCCTTAAATAAAAAAAATATTGAATATATATTTATTTACTGAACGTTGAATAAATTTCAATTTACCCATATCTCTTAAATGTTGTTCTAAAAGTTTCCTCATTTCATCAGATTCTGCGATGTCAATAGCCAGTTCTTGGTCACAGTTAATTGCTGAGACATCTGCTCCATGTTCTAATAAATATCTATAACAAACATATTCTTTTAGAACTGGAAAACCCAAATAATTTGAACTTTACTTAGAAAAAATGCACTAGTTCAACTTAATACAAAAAACGTTGAAACTTAAATRGTATTGTAATAAATTATACTGATAAATCATTGTTTAGTTAGGTTTATACAATAYAAATTAAATAATTATCTTTGTAAAGAAAATAATTTATTGTCAAAATATAAAATACTAACAAGAAGAATTATACAGATAAAACATTTACACAATATTATTGTCAATTACAAATACAGTTAGTAATTATAATAAAAATTATATAACCTACATTTATATATTTTATTTTCATTACCAAAACTTTATTCCTAATGTTTAATTATAAATTTAAAGAGATCATAAATAATAAATATATTTGTATTAAATCTTGACAAATTCTAATATTTTGAATATATTGAATACATTATGAATGTTTTAAAGATGTTTAATAAAACATATTAAAAGTTATTTATTAAATTGTAGAATATTCTAACAGGCATTGTTTGAAACTCTTTTTGCCAAAATTTGGATAAAAAAGAGGTTCTATGATATTCTAATATAATAAACTATTACATTTTTTTGTTGAAAACATAATTTCTAAAAAATGTATAAGCTATGTAAAATACAGAAGCAGAGCCAGCTGGCAAAGTCTACAAACACCACATAGTGGCTTCTAACAGTATCCACAATCCCATTTTTAAATCGGATTGTGAAGAGCTGTCTAAAAATAACCATGACTGATGGCCCGTAAGTAGTAAATTTGCCATTTGAATATTGAAAAAATACAATACAAATGTTTAACATCGTCTATAACTTCACGGACCAGAACTCCAAACATTTAAAAAATGTATAAGTATCCAAAAAAATATAGATGAATAAAAAAAATGCTATAGATATTTTACATTATTTACTTTATAGGTATTCAAAATAAACACTTTAATAGATACTGTTAATAATTTAAAATTAATACTAACTTTGCAATGCTAACAAATCCACAAGATGTTGTTGCATGCAATGGTGTCCATCCTTCTTTATCACCTCTATTCACATCAGCTCCATGTTCAACCAAAAATTCAACCATATCTAGGTTATCATCTATACAGGCCTAAAATAAATGAAAAATTATAATTATAAATAAAACATCGGTACATTCATTTGTTATTTTATAGAAACAAAATAATATTCTCAGATGTATATTATATAGGTAATGAAAACAATTATAAGACTATTAAGGTTATCTGTTACTATAGCCCATAAGGTATTTTTTAACATAAGGAATAATGAAAACAAATTTTGTATACATAACTAGAAAATTAATCAATGACTTTATACTATAATTGAAGTTTTTGAATGTTAAGCTAATCGAGGAGGATACATTTTTAACTTTGTTAACTGATTACTTATATTATAATATATTTTAAATTACTAGCTATATGGTAATTAACGTTTTATAGTAACTGAGATATACTGAAATAGGAATATGATTATGTTTCCTA